TCATGTGGGAGATATCCTCATATTGTTTGTGTGAAATATAATGTAATCCTACTTTAGGCGGGAGGCGTGTGGAACTGTCTCCCGTTTTTCCCTTTCAGCTCTCCCTGGGAGTCAGGGAGATATTATCACAATCTGTTTAAATAATTTTTCCTTTTCTTCTGTCTACCTTCACCATTCTTTGGATACTTAGCATTATTCAGAATATGTGGGCTATTTCAAATTCAAAATCAGTATATCTGTTATATGACAATTTCTAGTGCATTTGAATCTGTCAACAAAGAGTAATTTAATTTCTACTTAGTCTTTTAATTATTTTATGCATAAAGGAAGAAGGCTGTGAGGCTTTGGGTATATTAATTTGTTAGTTTTATGAAAAGTGTTATGTAACTGTGGTTTGAATTTGCTACCTTATTTCATTTTATTTGGCTTGATAAATAAAAATACGGTGGAAGTATGATTGTTTTATACAAACAAAATTACTTTAACTTGAAAAGGTCTGATATCTGATATCTTCATTTTAAGCTTTAGTAAATGAAAATGTCAGACGTTCTGTTTTATTAATAAAAGTCAAATGTCAATTAAAAATGACAAGCTTTAATTGTTGGCTTTGAAAGGACAAGTTTTATGAAAATCAAAGTTGTAATGGTGGCTGTAATTGCAAATTCTTTTTATCTTAGTGAATTACAACTCATTCTATATAAAATTGAAAGTTTTATAATAAATAGCATGTAATAAATACAGTATTATTATGTGTGTGTGCTTAAAAATCAATGTATAGCATTTTCTCTGCAGTGAAATCCCGGATGACTTATAATTAAGTGACCAGAACCCTGTTATCTGGGATGCTAGAACTTATTTTTTCAGTTAGTTTAAAATTTACAAGTTCCAAACGTCTGTATACATTATGAGCATCTATCTAATCTATTTCATAAATAAGTTTTTTAAATACACATTTGCAGTACATAGTGACTATACTCATTGTGAGGAGTTGGTGCATATTAAATCTTAATTCTTTTTTTTACTTCATAATTAATAATTATCTAATTTCTGTTGGTAATAGGCAGAACTTTGGAAACTATCACAATTGCTAAGTAGACCAATTTATAAGTCATTGTCCATTTTTACTATCTAGTTCTAAATGAAGGAAAAGCTAAATCAGAAGTGAGAGGAAAAGATACCAGGTGCAATGGAAGGGAGAAGGAAAGCAAAGCAAAAGCTTATGGATTTCTGTTATTCCCAGTGAACCTGCATCATTTCATTGATTCCTAATGGAAGAAATTGTAGAGGTGAAAATGCTGACTGGGCACTTTAAATTCTTCCAAGTCTGTTGCCTGTACTCAGGAATATTCAAAAGGAAGAATGGGTGGTGTTTTTTCACAAATTAGTATTTCATAAAGTGTCTAAATATAACTGTCTGGTTTATTTTGTTTTGTATTTATAAGACTGACCTGTGGCAAAAATGGAAACTCCTTGGTAGGACAGAAATTTCATTCAATTTTATTGGCTTAAACTCATGAAATAAAATTTTTTTCTAATGAGATTCTGTGATGATTGCAATATACTAATGGATTTTGACATTCATATTTTACCTTAAAGCAAATTTCACTTTGGGGACACAAATAGAGGTTTACCAGGGTGAAACTACCAGGAAATACAAAATAATATTAATAATTATAGATGGTAAACTTAGATTGTTATACTACTGAATTTTATTTGGTTTGATGATGCTGGGCTGTGGCACTCTTTTTTTTTTTTTTTTTAAATCAGTACTGGGGATTGAACTCATGACCATGTGCTTGCAAGCAGGCGCTTATGCTGCTGAACTAAATCCCCAGCCCCAGCACTCTTGATAATCAAAATCAGATGTCATGTTATAACTTCTGAAAATGGGTACAGAAAATTTTTTATAAAAGCAACCCACAAATTGTGTCACCTTGAAATGAGCTGAAAACACACGTATGGGGATTGTTGCTGGATCTAAGATTTAGATCGAAAGAGTTGTGTTTATATTTTTTAAGAAAGAGATTGAGATTTATTTTTTAATTTCTTGAAAATGCCTTCTGCTTGTAATGTTGGTAGTGAAATACTGTTCACTTGAAAAGTTAGACTTATATTTTAATAATTTAAAGCATATTAAAAAATACAAGCTTTATTGTAGGTTAAATACATTTCTTTTTAAATTTTCTGCAGGTTCCTTTCTTTCTACTGTAACATTGTATGTTTTTTCTAAGCCTTTCAAACATCGGGTAGTGAGTGATCTCCTGTGGTTGGCTGAGCTAATTATTAAGTGTTCATTAAATTTGTGATCTGGTTGCTAAACATAGCCATTATTAAACATCAAATTATTTAAAGCTATAATTAAATAAATTATTAAAACAACAGTAATAAAAATTTAGAAGTTATCATTTTCCGATTAATATTGCATTATTGTCTATAATTTAGAGATTGTATTCATTGTATCTGAGTGGTGGATATATATAATATATATCATTGCTTATCACTTCCCACCTCTGTGTTTAATGACTGCATATTTGGGAGCTTGAAATGGTAAGATTATTTTTGTTACAGTAAATGGGAAATGAAAGATTCTGCTTTTATTTTATGGAATGGTGTTATTAACTGTTAGCCTGTATATAACACCACTGTGGGCAGCATTAGTTCTCTGGTTTCCAGTTTCCTCTCTCTAATGTAACTTGTCATTATTAATTTTCTTCATTGAAAAGGCTAAGCACGGTAAAGGAAAGAGTGAAGGCGTATTAAAGAAAAGTCTAGGCCTTTCCATTTAGTAATTCAGACAAGTTTAGTATCTCTGAGCACCATTTCTTTACTCTTGAAATAGGTCAGTGATCCCTTTTTGTTCTTTCTACTTAAGGAGACTTTCAAATTAAAATTAGAATGTGCTCATGGATGGTGAAAGTATTAGAAGCAGTTAAGATACATAGAAATTAATATATAGTCAGAGAGGGACTGGATTTTCAAAAGTCAGCAAAAAAAAAAGGACATCTGAATTGTGGCTGGAGGCACATCTGAAGAAGTCCAGGGCCAGGCCTACATTCCTCCTGAAGGCATAAACAGTAACTTGGAATTAGACTTTAATTACTTACACCTGATCCAAGAAGTCCAGCTAGGCATTAGTTACCCAGGTGGGATACCAGAGTATCCTGACCCATCCCTTTCCAAAAATGCCTTTGTTCTTTCCATGTGGCCTTGCTACATGGTGACTTGTTTCCTCACTGGATCAGTATTAGTTAAGTGACAATACTTAATCCTATAGGTTGATTGTCATTTGATCAACGTTGTACTCATGTTGTGAGCTTGTTGTGTAAATTACCCATGACAAAGGGCTTTGGTGGCAACCCATTCCCTGGACCTTTGTGTCTCTCAGGAGCTATCTCACAATAAATCTTTCTTACTCTTAAACTCTGTGGCCCCTTGGAATTTATTCCTTGATTTTACAGTACTCAGACTGGGCATATCTGACATCTAGCAGACTGGGAGTTATATTTCTCACCTATCAAAAGGTCTTCAGAAAAAGCCATATACACAATTTTTTATTAGTAGTAAACTCTAGCTTTACCTTCTTACTTTTTCACATCAGTTTTCAAAGACTTGCTAAATCATACCATAAATTTCTGTCTCAGATCTTCCCTAGCTTGACTGCCACTTGTATCTCCCACTTTACTTTGCAGTTTATTGGATAGTGGTGTGGGGAGCACTATTACTGTGCATTTTCTTCCTCTGATGATACCCAAAGCAGACACTGCATTATCGTGACACTTCTTTTCAAACAAATGAAAGATGCTGAACAGAAGTACAGATTTGTGAATCACTAAATTCAAGTTTGATTTCTTTCTTCAATAAATACATGAAATTTCACCCAAAAAAGGTCTCATTCTCTCCAATTTAATTTAGAAATTTCTCTTTGCAGAGAAATTATTTCAGAATTTCTCTGTCCCTGTCCCTTTCTTCCTCCTTTTCCTGTTTGGATTGTCTTCTTTCTGTGAAGGTTACTCTGCTTTACCCATAGTAGTTAGAAACAACATACCTGTAGTAATTAGAAACAACATACTTGAAAATACCAGGTGTCTTAGTTACTTTTTACCCGTTGCTGAGACAAAATACCTGAAGCCCAAGTTGGGAAAGGAAAGATTTATTTCTTACAGTTTTTGGAGGTTTCAGTCCACACTCAGTTGGCTCCAAGGCAGGCAGGCATGGCTGGGCCACAGTTCATGGCGGCTGCAAACAGCAAGCAGGAACCAGCAAAAAGCAAGACACACCTTCTTCCTGCCATTACATCACATCCTGGCTCCACCCCTACGTGGGTTAGCACTGATATCATCAATCCAAGCACTAGACAATGAACCAATCACAAATGTACAATGCAAACTCATGAGGCCTGGGGGACACAGACATAAACCATGACACCAGGTTTTCTTGCTTAATTATATCTCATGCCAGCTTCATTAATTCCTACAATAAATTGTTATTTATTTGATGCCTAGAAGGAAGACATGTGGAACTGATGTAGGGTGAGAAGGTAAAACTTAAGAAGTTAATGAACCCTAACCTTGAGCAATGATTCAAGCATGATAATTAATCCAACAAATTGATATAAACTACCGATACTCTGGCTATAGTCAGTTCATTTAGAGGTAGTTTATTACTGAGTGCCTTGTGTTATGGTAATACTGTAACAGATGAGTGTTGATTAAATACCTATGTAGCCATCTAATTGTCCCCTTGGGAAAAGTTTTATCATTTTTCTTATCCATTCTGACAAAATGTCAGTCACATTATTTCAGAATTTTTGATATTTTATATAGATGTGTCCTATAAAATATGAATTTTGGCATTTATGTAAGTTGATTTTTATCTTCATATTTATGCATGCATAGTATCATCTACACACCAGAATATTTGAGTTGGTGTTAGGTTCTAAATCTGTATTGGCAATCAAATTAATTCATTATTTATAACTGCCCCTTCTCTTTCTGGTTTAGCTGGACAAGACCAATTCTGAAGAAAGGGTACAGAAAGCGCCTGGAAGTATCTGATATATACCAAGTCCCTTCTGCTGATTCTGCTGACAATCTATCTGAAGAGTTGGAAAGGTATTTTCATGGTTTATTAATTAAAGAGAGACATTCATATGATTATTTAGAGAATAGAAAATTAACTTTTTAGAGGGTCTAAGGCATAGTTAAAATAGGAACATCTTACATTTTTGCTGAAATCTTGACTGAAGAACTAAATATGAAACCATGAAGGAAAAATAACAATTTTCTTGAGAAATGCCTTCTTAGTGTTGAAAAATACATATGTGTGTTCTGAGAATTTATCTGTCTTTAAACAACATGAGATAGATTTATTCTCCAAATCTTAACATGTGAATATAAATGCGCCTGCTGAGAAATCTTAAGATAATGCTTTGGATAACAAATAAATAGAAAGAAATTTCATGTTTTTTACTTTCTATTATATTTCAAGTGTAACATCTGCCCTCAGCCACTCTGAGATGAAACTGTTACTATCTCCATTCTACGGAAAAAATAGAAGGCATAAACACATTGGGTAATCTGATGGAGTCATGATTCCAACTCAGATCTGCATTGCTTATCTCTAGGCACTATGTTCCACACAGGGAAGAGCATCTCAGCTTCCTCCCTTTATTGAGTGTTGATTAGGACTGTTGATTACTAGTGACAGAAACCCAACTAACTAGCTAAAGTAATGAAAGGGCAAAATTTTTTGGCTTCTGAAGTCTAAGCTGTGTGAATGCCTAGGTAGAGAATTGTCTTCATGGAAACCATGGGACTAGGGACTCAAATACCACTAGGTTATTTGCATTGTGCTCTGGTTCAATTCTCTCAGACTAGTATTCTCCCTGTGGTAGGCCTTATACCTTTACAGATGGCAGAGGAGAGAGCCTTTTTCCTTGGGGCCAAGGTGTGGCCAATTGGTAAAAATTTAGAGTCATAGTCTTACTCCCTAGACCAATTACAGTCTGTAAATTAACTAGACATTGTCTGAGCAGACTACCAGATGAAAGGAAGAGGAATTGGGATTAAGAAAATGAAAGAAGAAAAAGGTATTTGACCTTTTTTGAGCAAAGTTAGAAAGTTGTGTAGAATTGTGCTTTGTTTATCTCACTTTAATTAAATTTACCTTTTCTGACATCAAGACAAAGATAGTAAACCTTATCTTCCATGATTTTATTTAAAAAGATAAGTAAATGAGAGTAACAAATGCACATTTCTAAAGTCAAGATTCATATTCATTTATTGAGCTCATATGTGTTCAAGTGGCTTGGAGGCAGGAATATTTGGGATTTTTTTTTTTATACCAGGGATTGTATGCACAACCTCGAGCTTGCTTGGGATTTCTGTTTTTGTTTAGTTTGATCTGTTTTGTTTATGATGTATCCTCAAGTATCTAGAATGGGGCTGGCATGTAATACACAGTAAATATTTATTGATAAGTAAAAAGATTAATGTGACTAGAATGAAATAAAAAACCTGTAATATCGGTGAAGAGATGAAGTATGTAAAATAATACATTGTAGAAATCAACAAGTTAAAATAATATAGTAGATCATTTAATGTTATTGAGGTAAAGATTAATCAGAATAAGATTAAGTTCATTGAAAAATGAATGTTCTAAATATATTTTGATTTATGGCCATATAGAGAACATAAACCAAGACTACCAAGCTCATCTTCAGATCTCAGTTGTATATTCTTTTAGAATGACGTACAACTACATTAATTTTGGTAATTTGGTAATAACAGGAATAGCCATTAATAAAATGCAAAGCTTTTAAGGGCTGGGGATTTAGCTCAGCGGTGTAAACACCTGCCTTGCAAGCAGGCGGTCATGAGTTCAATCCCAGATACCAGAAAAAAAAATGCAAAGCTTTTGTCTAAATTTTTAGACACCTCATGAATTTTTTCAACACTGCATAAATTGAAGATTAAGACAAGGATAACACTTAGAGATACTTTATTCTTTTCTGAAGAGAGAAGGGACTTTATTAACAGAAATCAGTGGTAAAAACTTAAATACAAGCAGGTGCTGTTCTTGTAGTACTTAAAATGGTAAGTATTAGATCTTAGCCATTTTTAGACTATTTAATGTCCATTCCTACTTTTAAAATGCATATTTTCTGTTTCATTTTTCAAAGGCTTTTACTCTAATAGATAATTTCAGTAATTGAAAATGAAGCTTGATAACATTTATTTAATGTTTCTCCTTTTAAAAACAAATTCTAATAGGTTTTTCTCGTGTTGAATTACATAATGATACATCAGAACATTTATCTTGTTTTTGACTTTACTGTTAACTTATGAAATCTGCCACAGTTCTAAACACATAAGGAAAAGGAGTGAGAATATTTATTTTTCCTGTTCTAAGCACAGGAAGTACATTCATTAGTGTTGTAATTTATTTATCTGTCCATTGATTTTAAGAAGCCCAGTTCTTTGCTTTAACTCATGCAGTGTAGCTTTTCATGAAATCAAATTCTTGCAGAGTAATATATAGTAGAGTATCAAAATCTGCCAAAAATCTTTGAGAGCAGTTGATACAGTTTCCACAAGGTTTTCTCTTTAATCACTTAAGTTAATCTCCTTGGATACAATGTGAAACAAAGCTATGTTAAGAATATTACATGGAAACACATCTATAATCACAGCACTGGGGAGGCTGAGGCAGAAAGATCACCACTGAGTTTGGGGCCAGGCCTGACTACATAGTGAGTTCAAGACCAGTCTGAACTCCATAGTGAGACACTGCCTCAGAAAACAAAACAAAACAAAATAGGATGATTCAGACATTTGCACATGTAATTTATTGGTCCCATTTTTCATTTTTTTGCAGAGAATGGGATAGAGAGCTGGCTTCAAAGAAAAATCCAAAACTTATTAATGCCCTCCGGCGATGCTTTCTCTGGAGATTTATATTCTATGGAATTCTACTATATTTAGGGGTAAGAATTTCCTTTGTAAGTATATTATGGATAAAATAATTTTATTATTGTGACTGTAGTGATTGTAGGACAAGAGAATCCAGTAAAAATGTGAAGGACTAACAGGAATAAAAGTATAAAGAACTAATTCAACTCTAGACACTAAGAAACCACCTAAAATTCTGGGAGTGACGAGTAAGAATCCTTTGGAAATGAAAATGCTAACTAACAATTAAAAATGAGTACAGCAAATAAGTTCTGTTTACAAATTATTTTCTGTTAGAATTCTAAAAATTATATTTTGTTACAGTTACATGAGATTACTGCTAACTTTACTTTTGTATAGTCAGTAAAAGAATGTCAAAAGACAATGTAAGAAGAAAAATCCACCAAATTATACATATTAATGTCATCTTTTGAAATTATAGCTGCATATTGAATTGTTTCAAAGAAAAGTAGTGAAATTTTAAAATGTGGCAGTGAGGTACATTTGCAGTATATCTTCTCAGTCTCTTTTCTTCACCACTGTGAAGAGAGTGATTGCCTGAAAACCCAGACTTTGATGCCTTAAAAACCTTGTATGTTCCTCAGTTGTTCTTAAATGGGTTTCTGGTTCATTATTTTCTGTATCATCTGAGCATCACTTTGAAACCTTGCTTATAAGCTGTAAAAGGAGGTGCTAAGTGGGAAACAGCTGGTGATCCAGTAGTAGCTGTGTACAATATTGCTTTGGGAAGTTACACCAGAGAGACTACTTGTGTTCATACTGGTCTTTCCATTTCAGGGAATTAGCAGTGCCACAGTGTCTCCCAAATAATTGCCATGTATGTTTTAGCGCCTTAAGAGCACTTATTCATACAGCCCAACAAAACTGAATTTGAAAATTTTTCTTGACAGAGATGAATATAGTTAGGTCTAGAATGTTTCCTAATACTTGTGATAATTTCCTGGATGAAATTCTTCTGGCATATATATTAGAACTATGATATATATGGATTTATAGTTTCAAAAAGCCAAAAGAATTCTTTCTAGGGGATTATGTATGAGTGTGTGTGTGTATGTATGAATGTACATGCATCTGTGTGTGTAATATATGTATTGTTAAACTTGCAAAAATTTGAAAAATAGTTTTTTAGTAAATATGGATAAAGTAGCCCAGGAATTAATTTAAAATATCTTTGAGGTTGTTTTTCTCAGGAAAACACTTAGCTTTGCAAAACAATTTTCTTCAGTTGTGATCTAGTAGTGTTAAAGGTGAAATCTATAGCCAACATTCAGGGACAGGACAGTGGAGCAGGTCTTAAGAGTGATGAAGTTGTTTTTAAGCTTCCCAGGATTAAAAATATTCCAGCAGAAGTGATCTAAAAACCATTTTGGGCTACTAATTATCCACAAATGAGGATGAGAGAGGTGCTTCTGAGCTAAGCTGAACCTCATGCTACCTCTGTGAAACCAGCAGAACATCTGAAAAGCAATCTTTCCCATAACATCAATTCCTAGTGATACCAGGATAATGCTGGTGGTAGGTAAAGGCTCTTAATAGGAAACAGCAGCTGAAATGTACATGGAATATTTACACTGAGAATGGCACAAGTGGAGCAAGGCCATGGGTTTTACTCCCTTTAACATAGAGAAGGTCTCACTGATATCACGTAGTTTTAATAGTGAAACTATTGAAAATAGTGAAAATGTTGAAACTTTATCTTATAGAATAAGATAACAATAGCGATTGTTTGGGTGAGTGGTTTTTCAAGGCATCTTCTCTTTAAAATTAAGATTACATTTTAAAAATTATAATTTAACTTTTAAGAACATTTTTCTTTTACAAAAAATCACAAAATTTTTATAATAAAACAATAAGAATAACAATATTTAATACACTGTATCATTATCTTCAAAGTAGGAACTCAAAAAGGATTCTCTATTACAAAGAAGAAATAGGTAATAGCAAAACATTTTATTTTCTATAAGCTAAGAGAAACTACTATTATAAAGGAAATTAATTAGTAAAAACATTAAATTATTTTTAAAACAGCAGAATTTTACTTAACAGTTTTTAAGTTGACTCATAATAATTATACATACTTATGGGGTGCATTATATTTTAATATAGGCATACAATTGTCATGGGTAATTAATATATTTGTCATCATAAACATGTATAATGTCTTTCAAAAACATTCAAAATTTTGTCTTCTAGCTATTTTGGCATACAACAAAGAAGTATTAATTGTAGTCACTGTACTATAATTTTTCCTCCTTCTAATTGTAATTTTGTACCTATTAAGCATCTTCTCATTCCCTCCTCCTTCCTACCCTGTCCAACTTCTGTCGACTTCATTCCTTTGTCCCTTAAAAAAAAGGAGGAGAAAGTTCAGCCACTATCAGATCTCTATCCTTTTCAATAACATATTCAGAGTCTTAGTTTTTGTAGTCTTTTTCTGAACATTCCCCTTTTCCATTGAATGAGCTGGAATGAATGAACAAAGATTCTTGAAATAGTTTTAATACTACTCATGAGACAGATGCACATACCTTTAGAATTTCTATATATACTTATTCCCTCTGCACATAATCATTGGAGTTTTAAATATACTTGGTTTGTTTTTAACACTGATAGAAAACAGTAATATAAAATTTGATGTTAACCATGAAAGGTTAAGAAAAAGGAAATAACGATATGGAGGAGCTTTCTTTGCAATACAGCTGTAATTTTAAATCATATTAGCTACAAATTATCACAACTATACACCTCATTTTTATTCATCTGATTCAGCAGTCAGGCACATTGTCTTCAATATGTAAGACTACCAGCAGAGAAGAGACTGGCCATTGTAAAGCTGAGTGTAAAGGGAGATAAGAACAATCAAAAGGAGGCTAAGCAGAGTTTGTAAACACATTGAGGGAATATGATAATCACAGTATATTTATTCTGTTAAGAAATTCATAAGCATTCACTCAAAAACTTTCTTGATTCTTAACCCTTGGCATGTTTCCAGTATCACACTAAGATGCATGTTAGTACTACTACTGATAGATCAAACTACTCTTTTTTATTAAGTCCTAAGAAGTTTAAGGGCATAAAGAAGTCTTGGTACACAAATCAAGGTAGGCATTATAATATAAACCTGCTGCCAAAAAGGGAAGATTTTTGGGAAATCTGCACTCAGGTTTGTCCTGCCCTGAGTGTGTGACTTACATATGTGCCTTCTTTGTGATTGCCTCCCTGAGGCCTGCCATATAAGATTTGTTTTTCATTTTTCCCTCCTACCCTGCCTTCTTCCATAGGGAGCTGCTTCTCTAGCCTCTGCAGTGACTTGCCCTCTAGACTTTCTATACTCCTTCTTCTGAGTATTTCTGCTCCCTACTAGCATTCCAAGCCACAACCCCATTGCTAACACTCATGCTACCCATTGCATTCTGTGTCTTCCTCCAGGTTTTATGACAAGAACATCTGGAAGTTTAGAGCATCTAGATTTCTTCTCTGAAACAAGGGATTTTTTACTATCTTTAGAGTAAGCAGCAGCCTTAACGCAGAAATGTGATTTAGTTTGTCTGGAATGGGAGATCTGGGACAATGTAATTTTTGAAGTGCTCTTCATGTGATCCTAGTTGTACAGCCAGGGCTGGAAATCACTGGTAGACGCACCAGAATGGTCACTAAATTACCTGACTTCCACTAGGTGTAAAATGGTGGATGGGGAAAACTTTTAGTAGTTTTTTTTTTTTTTTAATGAAAATACTGGAAACGTTTAAAACAGCAAAATTAGCTGGTATTAACTCTAATTGCAAAAGAGCAATATTTCTCATATTTTTATAAGCACTCTTTTTCAGACAGCATCTAGTTAAGATGGGATGTGACTTCAGTAGTTTTGGGATGGGATGTAAAGTCTGTGTTTCTAAGAGCACCCAGTTGGAGATACTTGCATGTAAACTATATATATATATATATATATATATATATATATATTTTTTTTTTTTTTTTTTTTTTTTTTTTTTTGGTAGCAAGGCCTCAGAGCATCATGGAAAAAGGAAAAAAACCTAGTTAGAAGGAATATGGTTATTGAAAGTATAGTGAGAATAATCAGGAGCTGCTGAGTAAAAATGACAAGAATCTGAGACTAAAATGTGCTCCAGGCTTTATCTGAGACTTCCAACCTTAACTCTTAACTTCCTGTTCCTCCTTCTAGTGCCCCCTTCTATGCCTCCACTTGGAGCATAGACTGAATGAGAATGCAATTTAGACTTGAATTTAGACTGGATTCCACTTGGAATTTAGAATGGATCAGAGAATGAGATATGAATTTGTCCCATGAGAATAATCTCTAGCATCTGCTGTTACTGGTAGTCTATAGTTCCTTGTGAATATGATGTGGTGAAGAATGTAAAATATATATGATGTACTCAAGTGTGTATTTTTCCTCCAAAGGGCCAGCACTTTTTTTCATAACTGTTCTGGGATATATTTATATTCTGATGCATAAACTCATTTTATGATCTTGGGGAAATTACAAAACTTGTCTGGACCTTAGTTTTTTTAATTATAAGATTAAGGAAGTGTCAGTCCAGTGTATCATCTCCATGATTCTTCATCCTTTTAAATTAATGGGTCTATGGAGCAGCAAGAATACCTCAGTGGTAGAGTACTTGCTACATATAGGGTGGTAGGCTCAATCTTTAGCACTGCAAAAAAGCAAAACAAAAGAACAAAACCCAAAGTATTTAAATCATGTGTCTATTATACTGGACTAAAGAAGCTGCATTTATGTTAAATTATAGTGAAACTAAATTATAATTTGATTTTCTATATTCATATTGAACTGATCATGATGTGTGAATTGTCAAGCAACTGAGAGATAATGTTTTCATATCAATTTAGGATTATGCATAAAGAAAGTGGGAGCTTTGGAAACAAATAGTTTAAATTCCAGTTTTGCTGGTTAGTAAATGCAACTTTGGATAGGTTATTTAAGCTCTGTTTCTTTATTGTAAAGCAAAGATAAATGAAAGCAAATATTCAC